ACCTAATTTTTTTCCCCAGAACATGGATATACATGTACTCCTCAACAATGAATGAAAACACTCCCCTATGTGACATGCAAAACATATTTAGCTAATATTATAACCTTTTCTTTGCTTCCTTTTAAATGCCAACACTTCTACCTTTGTTGTTTATCAAGATATATTTTGGGGAAGGAATGCCAAGGACGTTGCTTTTTTCCAAAATTGAATATGTAATTCAATGTCGTTATAGTCCAAAGTGCTTTTGTAAGCCTGGTCCTCACAATACAACACAGATGTGCTTGAATATTATCTAGTAACTACTTAAAAAACCGCTTTTACTAATGTGTATTTTGTTGTTGTTCAGGAAAATTGATTGTATTTGTCCTAAATTGAGATTTCAAAACTCAAAGGCCAGGTCTTTAATTTTCTTGAGGTAAGGCAAAGGGCCAGGGGAAGGTAAGGCGATTGTGGGTTCTACAGTTAACTAAGGAAGATTCCCTTGCACTCAGATTACCACAGATACAGTGGAGCACCATTCAGATGCTTCAAGTCTCTATAAGCTGCAATCAGAACATCAGTTTTTTTTCTTTGAAGGTTTCTGTGTTACTTTTTAAAGTTTTTTCATTTTATGCACTAATTTTTATTGTGGGCATAGGCATACACGATGTGTGGATGTGTGTGTGGGTGTGTGTGTTCACGGGCCACGGGACACATGTGGAGATCAGAGAACAGTGTTCTCGAGTTTATTTTCTCCTGCATTTCTGTGGGTTCAGGGATAAAGCTCAGGTCATCAGGCTTGCACTGTCAGGCATTATACATCTTCTGAGCCACCTTGCTGGTCTACATTTTTTTTTTTTAAGTATTTATCTGCCGGGCGTTGGTGGCGCACGCCTTTAATCCCAGCACTTGGGAGGCAGAGGCAGGCGGATCTCTGTGAGTTCGAGGCCAGCCTAGTCTACAAAGTGAGTTCCGGGACAGCCTCCAAAGCCACAGAGAAACCCTGTCTCGAAAAACCAAAAAAAAAAAAAAACATAAATATTTATCTAACTACACAGGTGGTGGTGGTACACACCTTTAATTCCAGCATTTGGGAGGCAGTGGCAGGTGGATCTCTGAGTTCAAGACCAGCTTGGTCTACAGAACTAGTTCCAGGTCAGCCAGTACTACACAGAGAAACCCTTTTTCAAAAAACAAACAAAATCAACCAAACAGCCGTGATGTGTGTGTGTACGCAAACATGATATGTATACAGATGCCAGAGGTCAGTTCCTTAGGATCTGTCCACCTTGATTTTTGAGACAGTATCTCTCACCAGAAGCCAGGGTTCATAAGCTTGTCTAGGCTATTTGTTCAGAATGCCCCAGAGATCCCTTGTTTCCTTCTCTCCATCCCTGGGATTACAAATGGGATCGAGCATGCCTACCTGTTTATGTGTGTACTGAGAATTGAACTCCGGTCCTCACACTTTTGCAGCAAGCACTTTACAGAATGAGCCATTTGCTCCCCCCTTTTAGATTTCTCAGTAATGCACTACAGGATATTTTGAAATCATAAGTGAAACCTGGCACATTGTATCTAAAGAATATGGTTTATTTCACATTTTCCTGTCTTTTAGGCTAAGCGGCATGAGCTTGCAGCATATACTTATTTATCATTGTTTTTAATGACAGTGACGAATCGAGCAGCTTCTTTTATTTGATAGGCTGTGACAATTCATGTATGAACATTTTCTATAGCATGAACAATTGGCATTAAAGTTATTAAAATGAATGTAACTGTTTTTTGTGGATTTAAAAAATTAAAGTACCCATTGAATAACGGGAAGATTTTAAGAAAGAAAATGAACTTAAATTTTAGCTTAAGCTAATGGCACACTTAGAACTTTACTTCAAAAATTAGTCAATGGAAAGTACAGACAAGAGAAGTCAGTTATTCAAACGGAACCTTTTACAGATGACATACTAATAAAGCTAGGGACATCATATTCCTATGCTTGCATGTAATTTATGACTGCAGGTATTTTTTAAAGTTAGTATGATAGACTAGATAGGATTTAAACCCATAAACTTATAAGAGAGATTAAAAGAAAGGAAATAAAATCAATCTTAATACATAAAACCGCTGTTGAATTCAGTTTCACATTTCTAAACACAAGTAAAATCAGAAATATAGTATATTGTTAACTTATCATTAATCTTTTCTTCCCCCTTTATTGGGGTATATAATTAAAACATGAGTTTGGGGGTCAGTGGACAGCTTAAGGCATTAGATGTAGAAGAAGAAAGCAGCTTGACAGTTTAAATCAGTTACCAGAACACACAGCACAGTGGACCAACCAGGCTTGCTTAGAAAGGAGGCCAGCATTGAAGTATATGGGAAATACCTACAATCCCCCCCCCCCCTGCCAGCAATCCCAGGCAGGAGGATCTCCAATTTGAGGCCCACTGGGTTTTTGTAGTGAGACCATGTGAAAAATAAAATCTACGTGTGATGGCCCCGGAGACACATACCTTTGATCCTAGCATCGAGAAGGCAGAGGCAGGTGGATCTCTGTGTGTTTGAGGCCAGTCTGGTCTACAGTACTAGTTACAGAACATCTAGGGTGACGTGGAGAGATTTGGGTCAAAAAAGCAAGCAAACAAACAAACAAACAAACAAAACCAGACAAATAAACCAAGCCTGCATCCCCACAACCCTACAGAGAAATGAGCACAGGTCTCTTAAGCAACTTAAAGTGGAAAGCTAATGCTCATGAGGGAAGTTGGAAGATTTAAAGAAAATACGGAATAATTGGAAATAATGTGGGTCACTGGCTTTAAGTACAGTAGGAAGTCAGTTTCAAACTGGAATTTCGTGTGTTCTTTAAAGGGTGTATTGCTCAACAGCAAGGAAGCAGAGGGCATTTGAGGAGGAAGACAATGGCTGAAAAAGCAATGTTCACCATGTAAGGGCACAGGAGAGAGGGGCCACACCTGAGCAGGCAGCATTTGTTAGGATGGTGGGAGACAAGGCTTCGTAGAGTGTTCTTTTCTTATTAATGTCAATACTAAAAGCCATAGTAGAGTCTGTATGTACTGGAAGGAGCAAAGGAGAGACAATACTACTTTCTTCAAATATTAATATTTTCACACAGTTAAATAGTATTTTAAATCACGGAGAGCTGAAATCTAGGCTTCCAACTTTGTTTTAATCATCAGAACTCTCATTTCAATTGAAAATTTCTTTGAATTGTTTAATGTATAAAAATAAAGCCATCATCCTGGAGCGTACGGGAAGTCATCTCTGAATGTATTAACAGAGAGAACCAATGCTAGGGTACTTGTGGTTATGGTTCTAATAGGGGAGACAGATTATACTACTTCTTTCTGCAAAGATAAAACAGGTAAGAAGATGACAAGACGGTAGCAATGCGGATGGGAGAACAGAGCAAGGAGGCAGTCTGGCAGGAGTGGCCTTTGTGTGCTTGGGAAGGCTGTGGGATCTTTCTGCACGGTACTTCTAGAAGAGCAAGAAGTTTCTCAGTGCTGTTGACTTGTGTCTCTGTAGATTCACAGGCTCCCGCTGCGGGTCTGCATGTTTAATACACGCTCTCCCTCAATCCAGCGTTAACACGGAGAGGAATGATAATGGTGACTTCCGCTTAGTGGTCCTTTAGCCTCTGAGCGAGCTTACTATCTCTCACCATCTCCTTATCCTTTCAGCCCTACTCAGAGAAAAGGAGGACTGCTCAGGCTCATGGTTATCAGAAGAATGGGGACTCGGATTCAGCCTCTTCAGATTTTTAAATGTATATAGCATCATGTGTCCAAAAAGCTGCTTGCTATGTCATGAAGAATTAACTCTGTGCCCTAGAGAATTTAAACAACACTCTTATTGAGAACACATATGTTTTATTCTTAGCTAAATGTGTTATCCTCTACAACATTTTCGGTTTTGACCTCAAATTCTGCAGTTTTCCATTAGTAGCAGCGAGGTCAATTTTTGCATTCTGATATAGTCTGTTACTAAAATGGTAGACTAATCTCATTTTCAGTTCCTATAGTCATGGTTTCATACTTAATGAGCTGGGGTCTTTAACACTGGTGGCCAGAACTGAAGCCCCAGGCTCCCCTTTCACTGAAGTCATCTGAGATAAGTTCTGAGTGCATGGGATCAGGTCTGAATCCACATAGTGATGTGCTGGCCTTTGTAACAAGCACCAAAGGTGATGTTTATTCACACATGTTGTAAAAATCTGAAACCAGACATTCTCTTGAAAGAAATTCGATTCGCTTCCTACTTCATCTTCAAGCTCAACAGTATCCTTAGCTAAGATGATTTTCCCCCTAGCTCATATCTTCTTAACAGCGCCTTGCTTTGCAAAAGATACGCTGACACATACTTGTACAGTCCTATCGTCTCTACTAGGGTAAGAATTTACTCATAGCCAAGCCCAACTGTACTAGGAAAAATAGCTACTATGTATGTGTGTGGAGGGATGGGGATGAATATGGTTTCCTTTTATTAACTTTGTTGAAGTGGGAGAACTTTAAGGCAACAACTTCAGCCACAGAATATAATTACGTAATAATGACACCACACATCAATTGTGAATTTTTGCCATGCACAATGAGTGTATCTTTAGGGATATTAACATAATACACGGCGCAGAGGAGCAATCTTAGTTTTCCTGCAGAAGTGGAGACTGTGCACAGTAAAAAACCAGGATGGACAGTAACACAGGGTTCAGTGAAAAACTGCCCAGACGTGATGTGTTGTTCCTCTTGGTAAAAATAATAATGTCTTTTTCTTAAAGGGGAATTTTCATGATTACTATCCTAGTCAGAGGTTCTATTATTAATAGTAATATTATTAATGCCACTTTCCTGGGTAGATTTTAAGCATCTCTAGGCTTTGGAGAAAGTGTTCCATATCAATAGCCAGACATTATTACAATGTTAGGTAATGTTTCTCTCAGTGCGAAGTTCCTCATTTTAAGCAACGGAAGGAAGTCAACTGATTCATAAGACCAAGACAAGTCCTTAGAAAATACTTTATTTATTTCAAAAATATTAACTTGATTACAGAAATATTTTATGGTAAAGGTCTGAGCATGATCACTTGGTTATGAGGAAGACAGTAGAAGCATATATCTGGGGCAAGCTACTTTAATAGGGATGCATTTTAAAGTAAGCAGAGTTATTTTTGAAGGACTTTGGGATATATTAAGAAAAAAATTCATGTTTCAACTGCACAATTTAGGAAACCAGATTCTCTGACCTAGAAATAAAAAAAGTCTGTACATTCACAAGAAAATGATTTCATACCTCAAGCAAAACACACATCATCAGCAATGAATTTGTGATCATGTCTGCCTTCATGGTGTCGGGAGAACAAACGAGCACATTTCATAGCAATTGGATTTAAATTACTTTCCAACTTATTTCTATTAAAAACTTTTGGCAAAAGGCACACGATTAAATGGAGATTGTGACTATGGGGTTTAGCCTACAGTGAGGGAATAAATTTGTTATTGACATAATGATGTAAGCAAAGAAGACGCATATGGTGCAGACAGCTAAGGAATCAAAATTAGTGAAGCCAAAGTAAGAATTGTTTTGTAAATTCATAAAGGAGGCTGTTCTTAAAGATGGGCTCATCATTTTTCACTAACTGGATATTTGTGATGGGTCTTGTAAAACAAAACAAAAGAACCAAACAAAACAAAATAAAACATGTTGGTCCAGACAGTTCATATTCTTTTTTTGTTTCTCTGTGTCATAGCCCTAACTGTCCTGGAACTCACTCTGTAGACCAGGCTGACCTCGAACTCACAGAAATCCTCCTGTCTCTGCCTCCCAAGTGCTGAGATTAAAGGTGTGCACTACCGTTGCCAGAACAGTTCATGTTCTTAAACTAAACTTAAAATAAAGCTCATGTTTAATAAGCACATGCCATTTCAGACACAGTCCGCATGTGGCTATGTTTACTGGCATACTGGACTGATTTTTAATATCCACTTATTTAACTTCCTTATTCCTTCAGTGTCTGGTCTTTGCTTTTAGTGCATTTTTCATTTGAAGAGGGTTAGGAAGTCACTTAATAGAATAAAAACTTTGATTTTATGGTGCCACTATAGTAAGATTCTACTAGGAAGTAAACAAACAGCTGTATTGCATTTTTCCCTTTGTGACAGATTTTAGCTACTTAGAATTTATTTATTTTTTTGTTCAAAGGATAAAGTGTGCACATTTTGAGTTAACAGTAATGCTTTCTGCATACATTGCAAAGGAAGTGCAAATCTGAGGTTGACATTCCCTATATTGCCACCATTTAAAGATGTTGAAGGGACATCACTGATACTTGTTCATTAGTGATGACAAAGCCTGAAACCTCACATGTGGTTCAAATGTAGATGAACTGTTAGTGGACTATGCCGCAGACCCTTTGGATTAAATGATGTCTCTTCAACACAGAGCAAGTTAATTTGATTCTCCCTGGAGCTCTGAAAGGAGATAGATGCAACGTCTTTGTCACTTATGACACTATTTTTCTACATCCGGTCCAACTCAGATCCTTGGTTTACTTTGCTTGAAATAGTTGGTGGTTTGTGTCTTTTAAGAGTTTTCCCGCCAGGTGGCGGAGCTGCATGCATCTTTAATCCCAGCGCGTGTGAGGCAGAAGCAGGTGCTCTGAGATCGAGGCCAGCATGGACTACAGAGTTCTAGGACAGCCAGAGCTACTCAGAGAAACCCTGTCTCTAACAAACGAACAGTGAAAAGGGTTTTCTCAATGTAAGCTTCTGAGATGTGCAGAAATGACTTTGGGAAGGTCTTTGATTGAGTAAGTCACAGAATCAAACGTTGGCAAACGGAAGGGTAATAGAAGAAAGCAGAGAGCGATAGGGAGACACACGGCCTGGGAGTGGAGGTGGAGTGAGTGGTGTGAGGACAAAGTGAGGTGGGATCCTCGACTGATGTCAGAGCGGAGGCCAGGGAACATCTAATCTCAGTTATATGTCAGCTTTGCTTAGGCCGGGAGTGGACAGTATAGTGCCTATGAGCTTGGGCACATCTGCAATTTCCACACTTCTGCAAAAGTCGTTGTTTACCAAGAGATACTGCTGGTTAATCAGGCAAAGATGGCCTTAGGAGCTCAGCCTGTCCTACTGTCTTACTGCAGTATTTGCTGAGATCTATGGACCCCACTTCTGTATCTTCACTTATCTTTTCCTTCCTTTTATTTCCATTGCCAGGATTAAGATTAGCAAGTCATCACCCATTGCCTGGACTACTGGTTTGGTTTCTAGCAAGAAGACAATTTTCTCCAGCACTCTCTTGGCCTCTCATATCTAGAGCAGAAGCTTTTTCCCTCTACCCCATTCATTTTAGGTTTCTTCCAAGCTTGTATTATTTTGAAAATCATCACTGATAACTCAAGGGAAGCAAGAAAATTGGCAGTGTATTACTTTTCCTGACATTAAAAGTCATTTCCAATATTCATTTTTCCCTTTAAACCTTTGATTTCCATTGTTGCCTTAAATGGCTAATAAGTTCATGGCATGGGCCACAATCCTTGCATGGCAAAGCCTGAACTCTTTATGTTGTCACCTTGTGGACTATGCCCTTTCATTTGCTCGTGCCCAAATCTTGCTTTATTTGACACACATTTCAGATATACAGCTTATGAAAAATTCCCAGTGATCTTCAACCAGATATGATCAGTTTTTTCTCAACATTGTCACAAGTATATAAATAACTCATTTGCTAGATCCTTGTTTATTACCTTCTAGAATAGTTTTAATTCTGCATTGTTTCTTCTTCTAGATTATAGCTACATTGATGGAAGAATTTATGTTTTATTATTTCCTATATCTTCTATCTAGTACATTTTTCATTGCCTTATATAAAGTCTCACCTCTAGATATTTGCTAAACCAAGGGTAATGTCTCACAGATATATAAAAGGTGATGTACTCTTAAACACTCCACCAGAAAAGAATATTTTATAATGTACAAGAAGTGGCAACTAAAAAAGGTGTGGTATAATATTGTTTTTCAGATGGTCTTGATTTATAAAATGTATCCTTATTAAAATGGAAAAACCGACTTTTTTGTTGTCAAAGCAAAGTTTTAATTATTTAATATTTCCCATTGTATTTTTTACAATAAGAAGGAAATAATAATGTTCAAATCTTAAGACATGGAGATGAATTGTAAAAACTGGGCTGTTAACATTAGTAGAGAGGAAATAAATTTTATATTAGAAGTGTGATAGCTATGGTGAGTAACTTAGGGTACTTAGTGTTTAAAGTTTTATTCCTTAAAAAGGGACAGTGCCTGTGATAATTATACAATAATTGCATAACAAACCTTCCCCTTGGGGCTTTGATTTCAAATACTGATATATGATTATGATGATATTATTCTAGAAGCCGATATTAAACAAAGTGAGGATAGCAAATGTATAGAAGTTCAGGATATTGAAATACTTTACTATACTTAACCCACTGTTTGGTTATTTTTGGTGTCCAAATATGAGGATAATACCAAAGCCACTGAATTTCATGTCTACTCTACTCAGGCTAAATAAGAGCTGCCATTACTTTCTCTTTGCCTTTTGCAAAAAATAAGATGGAGAAGGGACAAGAGAGGTATTACAATGAATAATATTTATTCTATGAATTACTAGTTGATCAATGGATTGATATATAAATTGCCAGTGGAAATATGTTAATTGAAAATTCCTCTAGTTTTTGTAAGATATAAACCTGGAAAGTATTGTAAGTAGTATGTATATATAATTTTCCAGTTCTCTTTTTAGACATATTGCATAGACAAAAGATTATTTATAAGATGCAAAAATTATTTCCTAATTTTGATGACACTAGACTGATGGTCAAATTAATCTCATTTTCTTGGAGCTATTAAAAATAAATTTATGCTGTTATAATTTTAGCAATCTTAATATATTTTCTCTAAAAATTTGAATGTTTTATTACTTTACATTCGTTTAGTTATCCCCCCCCAATAAATAAAGTCTTTACCCTTCAAAAATAGACCTCCTCTTGCCTAACATCGACATCGTACAAGTTTTTGGAAGGCTTTCTTGAAGTCTTCATTGAAGATGGTATAAATCAGTGGATTTATAAGGGAATTCAGATAACCAAGCCATGCCAAAAAATTTGACATTTCCTCAGAGATTTTGCATTTGTCACAGACATTAACAACCAATTCTTTTACAAAAAAGGGCAGCCAACATATTACAAAAGCACCCAAGATCAATCCCAGGGTAGTGGCTGCCTTGCGTTCTCTAGTGCCTGAGATTTTCTGTCTTCTCCAAGATTTCTCATGCCTCAACTCAGATCTGGGACTTTTCACTGTGCTATGAATTCTATCAAAGTCTGTTGATGGGTCAGATAAGGATTTTTCTAGAGTATAGGAGGTGGAGACCAGTTTAATGCTCTTCTCACCACTCTCCAAAAGGACTTGGCCATTCAGCTCCTCCTTCATCATACGACTTGCTTGTCTCTTGTGGTATAGTGTCCTTGCTGCTCTGTATATTTTGTAGTAGAGGATCAATATCAATACAAGAGGGATGTAGAAAGCTCCAAACGTGGAGTAAATTGTTGAAACAATGTGGTCATGCTTGATGACACATTCATCATCACGGCTAGTTCCTTGGTGCCTCCAGAAGAGAGGAGGCATAGAAATGAACACAGATATAACCCACACTATTGTAATCATGATGCCAGCATGTTTGGGAGTCCTCTTCCTGGCATATTCAACAGCATCTGTGATGGCTCGGTACCTATCCAAGGCTATCGCTGACAGATGCAAGATGGAACATGTACAACAGATGATGTCAACGCTCAGCCAAATGTCACATAGTACTTGTCCCATAATCCAGCTCTCTCTCACAATGTACACAATACTGAAGGGCATCACCAGGACAGCTACAAGAAAATCTGTAACTGCCAGGGAACAAATTAGGTAGTTGGCTGGGTGGTGCAGCTTCCGAGTCACAATGATGGCAGCAATCACGAGGGAGTTGATGGTGGTTGTCATCAGTGCCAGCCCAGACAGAGTGAGGGACACCAGAATTTTGGATGGCATTCGGTTTAATAGTTCCTCAGAGGTCAAGTTTTGATCTGAAGAATTTAAAAAATCCATTTTTTTCGTTTAAAAGGTTAATATAGTTGAAAACTGAATACCTGCAACAAAGGAGGGGGAAACATAGTTCAGAAAAGTTTCAAGTACTTTTCTTTTTAGAACACTTTAAAAAATACATGCATGGTTTTATAGAGCATTCTTTGCATTAAAAATTTGAGTTAATCTGAACTTTCTTTCTGAAGCAATTTAATGAAAACAGTAATAAAAGGAAACTCTCAAATTATTTATTAAAATTGTCTCACATAAAACAATAGTCAATTAGCCAACAAAATCCCAATGATAATGAAATTGTTTTTAAAGTCATATTATCTCTACATTTTTCTCTTTGTCTGCAGCAGAAGATATGCTTTAAAGTGCATGTTAATTTTATACTTGTGTATTTTGCAATATGTAGTATTAGCATTAAAGGTAGTATTCAAAAATGATAAATACATTTGTATTTAATTTAAAGTCACATAAAGAACATTGTTTCTGGTATTTGTAATGTATTTTGTGCTATGGTATAGAGGGTACATAGAGAGAAATAAGTAAAATAATACTCTATGCAGCACTTTATAAGCTTAGAAAAATGTTCATAGTTGGGGACTTGGTAATTAATTTGGTTTGAGAAGACAAAATAAGATTAGTAGGAGTCAAATATCCCTACATTGTCTATTATAACAATGACCAAGTAGCCTTTTCATGGAAGCCATACTGACAGTAATGTTGTTTTCTTGTAAATCACCCTTGAATTGATTATATTACATTGGTGCTTAAGGAGGATAATATATCCATGGCTTATAATTGTTGCTCCAATCTGTGATTTAATTTTATTGGAAGTCAAATAAGGGCTTGAAATGTAGTTCAGTGGTAGAACACTTGCCTAGCATGTGTAAGCCCCCGGGTTTGAATCAAGAATGAAAGAACAAGTCATTGGAGTATTCTCAACTAAGTACTAATAATAATTTTTCAAAGTGTTTCCTTATTTCCCATTACTCTCCTTCTTTGTCTTCCATAAATTTTAGAGACAACTTGAATCTCAAGGAAGGATGGACAGGAAGAAGATTCTGCGATTTTATTCTTAGTTACACATGTTGCTTTATGAGCATATATTAACAATATATTTACTTTAAGATGGTAATGTTCCTGTTGTTAGAACTGGACTGATAACATATTTAAAATCTTAGTATTTGTATCAGTATTTCACAAGGATATGAATAATCATGTATTTGTTGTACTGCTTACCATCTGCCTGTGTTTGGGTACCAGTACAAAATTTAATTTTACTTTTCAGGTATTCTGAAGTCAATTGCTGCTAAGAAAATTGAATGCCAGAAAACACAAATATCCACTATCTGGATTAGTGATTGTCCACTGTAGAGTTGAGAAATTGTCCTGTACCTGCATAACGCTCACCTGTAAAGAGCAGCTAAGATGCTCTATATCTACATAACACTTACCTGTATAAGGTAACTAAGTCCAGAGAAACAGTAAAAATGTAAATTCTTCCTAGAAATTCTAAACCAGAAGTTATTAAATTCTGTGGCTCTCAGGATCACAGGGAAACCTTGCAAAATCAGATTCCAGGGTCCAAACTTTGGAGTTTGTGATTCAGGGAGTCTAGTGTGGAGCTCTCAGATTCACAATTCTGACATGGTTTCAGGTGACACTGATGCTAGAAGTCTGTCCTCTGGGCTTAGTCATCCTGGCTGCTTTCCACAATTGTCTATTTTCTCAGTGCTATAGTATCTACAAGTTTCTCTCAAATGACAGCATCTATGGTATTTCAAAATGTCTTTAACATGGTTCTCTCTGACATCTTACTTATTGGAGACTCTCAAATAAATGACCTTACATTAATTTTTCATTGGATGTGTCTCTATTTGCCTTGCTGGTTCAGTGCAGTTCTCAGATGTCTTATTCAAGAGCTAGTAAGTCCTCTCCCCTCACATTCTCCCCAAGTTTCCTTTCTCTTCCGAGAGAATACTGGGACAGAGGGTCTGAGATGTAGAGAACTCACAGGCACCATGAGAACCATCACCAAATCCTTGTATGTGTTATGTGTTTTAATAACACAGAGGCATCTACTCATCTTCCTCCCTCTCTCCTTCCTTCCTCCCTGCCTCCCTTCCTTCCTTTTTCTCTTTGTGTCATTTCATTTTCTTAACTTTTCAAAAATTTTAGTTTTTACATTAATTGTGTGTGTGTGTGAGTGTGTGTGTGTGTGTGTGTGTGTGTGTGTGTGTGTGTGTGTGTGTACCTGCTTGTCAAGGCATACATATGAAGGGCAACTTTGAGGAATCACTTCTCTCCGTCCACCATATGAGTTTCAGAGATCAAATTCTGGTTGACAGGCTTGGTGGCAAGCACACTTACCTGCCAAGCCAGCTTGCTGGCCCTCCCTTTCAGTTCTTTGTGTGTGTATTTCCCATTTTTATTTTATTTTTAGAAACACTCCTATTTACATATCCATCCTCCCATGCTCCCCACCGACCCCCCAACCCATCCACTATCCACTCTCCAGGGATAGTGAGACCCTTCACGGGGATCATCAAAGTCCATCACATCATTTCGGGGAGGGCCCAGGTCCTCCTTTCCATATCTGGGCTGGTCTGGCAAAGAGGAAATGGTAGGGGATCCACAGGGATAATCCCAACTAAGAATCTAGGCCGTGTTGGAGAGGCTGCCTTTGATGCCCTTCCCCTTAATTAATGAGATTGATGACTACCTTGGGTACCATTCTTAGAACCTTGACCCAGTAGCTGATCGAAGCAGAAACAGGCACTCACAGCTGAGCACTGAATCATACTCTCAGAATCCAGGTGTGGAGAGGGAGGAGAGATGACCAAATGAACCAAGACAGAACTGAAGATACCCGTAGAAACAGTTGACCTGACCTAGTGAGAACATGCAGACCCTAGTTGCAAAGCGGGGGAACCAACATTGAACCAAACCAAGCCCTCTGAATATGGGTGCCAGCTAGGAGGCCAAGGCAGTCTTTGGAACCTCTAACAGTGGAGCCAGGCTTTATTCTTAGGTTACAAATGGACATTGGGAACCCATTCCTTATGGAGGGATAATATTGCAGCCCTTTCAGTTCTTAGGTATTCTCCTTGCAAACAGTTTTAGAAAGGTCAGTGATCCTATGCAGTGATCCTTACTCTAAATCCAGCAACCTATTTGGTAAATGTGGCAGATTAATTTCTGCTTTCCTTCCAATTCCCTCAATTTTCACATCATATATTTTATGCTATAGATTTAATTAAAAAAACTGAACTTTTGTGCCCAGCTTCAACATCCAGAGAATCCACCACACAAGAAAGGTGTCAGTCCTTCCAGACCCCACCCTCCGGTGTGCCCAGTTTCAGGTGAGCATGGGTCCAGCTGGGACCCCTCTGTAGGCATTTTGGTCGGATCAGAATGGGTTAGGTATTCTGGCACTCGGGAGTCGAAGAATAATGAGTGTTACACAGCTCAAATGGAAAGGTATCCTGGAGCTCGGGAGCCAAGGACTACCACAGGTTGTAATAAGCTTTAGCAGCTTACAGCCTTGCCTCAGGAAAAGGCTTCCCTAGTGTATGGGCTCTGCTCTGGCAGGACAGGTTCTTCAGCTGGGGGTGTTCACCCATTGTAGCAGTTTTGCTGGGCAGGAGGTTTCCGGGCAAAGTTGCTATAGTAAAGCTCTGCTCCCAGAGAGTGGGGAGCTGAGAGCGGAGGGTAACAACTCTGCTCTGCCAAGGGAAGGTTTCATGATCAAGTAGGTTTCATCCTAGGGATGCAGGGATAGTTCAACATTAGAAAATCCAACAATGTAATCCACATATAAACAAGCTGAGAAATAAAAATCACATGACCATCTCACTAGATGCAGAAAAGCCTTTGACAAAATCCAACACCCATTCATGATAAAGGTCTTGGAGAGATCTGGGATAACAGGAACATTCTTAAACATAATAAAAGCTATATACAGCAAACCAACAGCCAACATCAAACTGAATGGACAGAAACTCAACGCAATTTCTCTAAAATCAGGAACAAGACAAGGCTGTCCACTCTCTCCATATCTCTTCAATATTGTACTTGAAGTTCTAGCTAGAGCAATAAAACAACAAAAGGAGATCAAGGGGATACAAATAGGAAAAGAAGAAGTCAATCTTTCACTATCTGCAGATGATATGATAGTTTATTTAAGTGACCCGAAAAACTCTGCAAGGGAACTCCTAGAGCTGTAAATACCTTCAGCTAAGTGGCAGGATACAAGGTTAACTCAAAAAAAATCAGTAGCCCTATTATATACAGATGATGAAGTGGCTGAGAAAGAAATCAGAGAAACATCACCCTTTACAATAGCCATAAACAGCATCAAATATCTGGGGATAACGTTAACCAAAGAAGTGAAAGACCTGTATAGCAAGAACTTTGAGTCTCTAAAGAAAGAAATCAAAGAGGATACCAGAAAATGGAAAGATCTCCCGTGCTCTTGGATTGGTAGGATCAACATATTAAAAATGGCAATCTTGCCAAAAGCAATCTACAAATTCATCGTAATCCCCATCAAACTACCAGCACAATTCTTCACAGACCTTGAAAGAACAATAATCAACTTTATATGGAAAAACAAAAGACCCAGGATAGCCAAAACAACCCTATACAATAAAGGAACTTCGGGAGGTATCACCATCCCTGACTTCAAGCTCTATTACAGAGCTATAGTCATGAAAACAGCTTGGTATTGGCACAAAAATAGGCAGTTAGAACATTGGAACTGAATTGAAAACCCTGATTTTAACCCACACACCTATGAACACTTGATTTTTGACAAAGAAGCTAAAACTATACAATGGAAAAAAGAAAGCATCTTCAACAAATAGTGCTGACATAACTGGATATTGGCATGTAGAAGAATGCAGATAGATCAATTTCTATAGCCTTCCACAAAGCTTAAATCCAAATGGATCAACGACCTCAACATAAATCCAACCACTGAACTTAGAAGAGAAAGTGGGAGATACTCCTCAATGAATTGGTACAGGAGACTGCTTCCTGAACATAACACCAGTAG